CAGCAGAAAGCCAGCTTGAAAGGAATTGTATCCCAGGGAGCAATTCCTTTTAAAAGTAAAGGACGTGCTCACAGCTGTGCTCAGGGCTGGTCAGCCTTGCAGAAGCCACTCTGTCTGCTCTGAAGAAGCTGGTTGGTTTTTTTTTTTCCTGCATTAATCCTAGGATACAGCAAACTTTTGCTGCACAACTGTGCTCTCCTTTGATCCTGGAACATGCAATTTCAAGAGATCCTGACCAGCTCACTGACCTTTTGCTTTGCTTTCTTATGCAGCTTCTGTTGCGAGGGTCCTGGTTGGGTGGTCTGATCTGGAGGAATGTTGAATCCACTTGCTTCATCCAGGGCTGCTTCCTCTGTGAGCTGGTGACAAGAGAAAGCAAGAAGCCTCTTGTTTCAAACATAGTCGGGAGCCTCATTCTAGACTCTAAATCTCCTGCCCTTCTCCTTGCTCTCATGCAGTAGCAGGAGATGACAAGTCTGGATACATCTGGTGGTATCCAGCCAGATGTGAGCTTGTTCTGTCTGCACATTGTGAACAGCCAGTGCAGCAGCAGGGGCCTTCAGCTAGCACAGCTAGCAGCAGACCCTCAACATCATGATAATCACACACATGTGGTCTGCAATCAGGCAGAAATTTAAGCACAGAAAACTCATGTCTGCCTGCAAGACAACATGTAGTAATTTTAGAGAAAAATCTAGGCATAAGCTGCACTAAAACAGCAGACATCTCATCTATGGGTCAGGGAAAAGATGAAACAAGTAAGGAAGTACCCACAGAGTGGGGTTGAAGAGGAGACACACGCCACAAGAGACACTAAGCCTGAATGAGAAAGACTGTGTGACAGACTAGAAGTCACGTTTGTCAACAGCCTGTAACTGAATGGCCCATGGGAGCAAGTATTGGAAAAACACTAGGAGGGGGAGGAATGAAACTCTGCTCAGGAACAGAAACGCATCCTTTGCATGCTCACCAGGTAACATACACACTGGGAATAACTGAGAGGAAGACAAACAAGGCCACAGCTGCCACTTCTCACCTGTTGTAGCACTCTGCGAATGGCTTCCTCCTCAGCAACTTCCTCATCGCTGTCAGGAAGTTTATAGGTTTCCAGTGTAACTGCAGGAGTAAGAGACAGGAGACTGTGACCCACACCTGCCTCAAACCTTGTGCCCACTTAGGTGCCAGAGACAATCCCCTGTGGTGTGAGCTGGTTTTGGCATTCTGCCTGTGCCACAGACAGATCCCTTTCAGATGGGCACTCCTCAAAAAGGGTGTTACTATTTGTTTCTAATACTGAAAGAGGGAAGGAAAAAAACCCCACCAAAACCAGAGCTCTGATTTTAAAAGGTTTGTTAACCTTTCCAGAGTATGCTAGAATTATCTCAAAGAAGGGTGAAAGACAAAGCAGTTGGACCTTACAGCTCTGGCCTCTACCTTCAACTAAGATCTTTTGTACTGATTTCATGATCACAGAATCACAGAATCATCTAGGCTGGAAGAGACCCTTGGGATCATCGAGTCCAACCATCTACCCTACTCTAAAGTTCTCCCCTACTACTCTAAAGTTCTCCCCCTGAACCAACTTAACAGACAGAAACAAGTCTCAGTCTGCTTCTTGCAGAGCAGAGGAATTAAATGCATAAAAGCCTCTTGGAAAAGAAATTACTCTGTCACAGGAACGCTGTTCCTCTCCTAGCACTGTGTTCTCACCTGCTACCCACCTTTCTCAGGGTCCTCGCCTCTGAGTGCTGCCAGTCTCTTGGCCACTTGTAGGACCTTTTCCTGCCTCGTGTTCTCTTCCCGCAGTTCAGCAGCAGCTTCTGCCAGAAGTTTATTCTTCTCTTCCTCTAGCTGTTTTGGGTCCAGATTTGCAGGGCAAACACAGTCTTCACTTTCCCGATTGAGATCATTCAATCTTTGGCTGCCAACAGCTGCAGACAGACACACAGAACACGCTGGTGACACAGCAGGACGTTGCTTGGGCACAGACATGACTAAAGCAATGGTATGAGAGCAGCTGGCTGCTCTCTATTAATCCGGGTAATAATGGGAGAAGGCAGGCCACAGTAGGATCTGCACTGTACATGAAAAGAAGAAAGTGAGCTAATCTGTGTTTTACAGTGAGATTAAACACCTCAGAGAGAGAGAAAGCACGGCAGCTAGGAAGGTAAATGGTATCCCAGGTTCCAATGTCTTGTTACAGAGCACAGGTGTGCTAGGAGTAGCAACAGCTCCTCCTCAGGGAAGGGTCACCTTAGAGAAACAGAGAGGAGCAATAACCCTGAGAAGAAGGAACCATCTCCAAAGAGAGACAACGAGACCCAGTATGGAGCTCGGTGGCTGCTCTTGGTCAATTTGGGAGTCCTACCAGGGAGATAAGGACAAACTGGACACCCAGCTCACCTGTAAGCTAATCAGGAAGGCACATATTCCCTTCTTACTATAGCACATACATCATTAGACAGAAAAAGGTCTTTGTAAGCCAAAATAGATACCTTGAGGCTGGACTTTTGGTCTGTAATGCTCATCAATGGCAACTTCCTCAGACAGTTGAGTTAAAAGGTCATCTGTCTGCTGGACCAGGCTTCTGGTATCAGGAGGCTGGTGTACCTAAGAAACAAGGAGGACATGGTAAAAGGCATATGAAACTGGCATGTTCAGAAGAAGGAAAAGTTTGTTAACCAAGATCTCCCTCAGTGGGAACGGCAGAGAAAGATACATCCACTGATCTTGCGAGTCTCAGCTTACAGTTATCTGGTACGAGACTTTCAGGGCTTCATTCTCAGAGGTGCTGAATGTGCACAGCTTGAAAAGCAGTCACCCAAACAAGGCAAAGTGGGGCTGAATATATAGGAATATATACAAGCTGCTGGCTCCCAAACCCAGCTCTGCCTCTACCTCCAATGTAAATAAAGTGCCATTCTCAATAGTGCCAGCCAGCAGCCCTGCTGAGGCCTCTGGTCACAGCTGGGTGAGCAGCACTGCTGGAAAAGGAGCACAAGAAAATGATTTGTCAGGGACAAGATCATTCATACAGGCTTTGAAGGCTCATTCCTCTCTCAGACTAACCACTTGTGCTTCCATTTCTAGAAAAATTAACAGGATTTTGCCCAGCTGGGATGCAGCAACAACTTCAAGATACAATGAGAAGGTAGGGCTGATAAGCGCCAAACACAGAGAACACAGGTCTGAAAAAATATCAGACCACTTAGGTATAACAAATGGATTAAGAGGAAAAAACATACTATCTGTTGTTAAAAATAAACACATGAACTGCATTTGACATAAAGGAACATACTGCATTCAAACTGAAGCAGTGAACTGGTAAAGGCTGGCCATTTGCTTCTGGAGCAATGACAGAAACAGGAAACAGATTCTGAAGGGAGACACCTGGACACAAAGAAGCTGAAGAAGGAAGAAAGGCTAACATGCTGGGACACCAGTTACTGTGTCAGCTCATAACACATTGCTGGCCAAGTAGCTGAAGGAGCTTACAGGTCTGGGAGCCTGGGAAGGAGGATCTCTCCCCTGCAGGACAGCCAACCGGTCCTCCATCTCCTGCGTGGATGGAACAGGTCCCCGGCAGTCGTCCTTCAGGGCAGCCAGCCTAGCTTCGATCTCAGCCTGAGTAGGGATGGACTCTGCAATTCAGAATAACCCAATGGTGGAGATTACTCTATCATTGAAAATAAAAGGCTTCACTTTTTTTTTTTTTTTAATTAAAATGGCATTTTTTTCTGGAATCAGACTCTGAACATTTGAACAAAAACCCACCTCAGACCCTGAGGTGAACGAGGGGTTGTACTGCAGAGACTCAGAGACTAACTTAATGCTAACTGTTATCCTTTTCTTCTGAGTTCTTGCTTCCTTCCCAGTTTATTTCCTAGCTATAAGGCAAGCATTAGAGTAATGTCATTTGGCAGTCAGCTGACTCAGGATACCAGGGATTGGCAGAGAAACAAGTGTGATTTAGGCAGTACAATCCATTGCTCCCATATCTCTTAATATAATCCTACACATCAGACTGAAACCCTCCCCTGCCACACAATGGGACGAGAGGAAATGGCCTCAAGCTGCACCAGGGGAGATTTAGAACCCTCCATGTTTCCCAAGTAGCAGTGTTCCCACCCAAGGCATTTGCAGTATCCTCCAAAACTCACTTGGTTTCCTTTCCTCCCTGAGCCTCTCCAGTCTCTCTGCAATAGCTCTATCCTCTTTTGAGAGTCCCTGGTATTTGGAACCTGCTTGACCCGGGGGTTTTGTAGCTGCCTTCTTTTGTTCTTTCAGCTGTTTTTGCTGAGCCTCAAAAGCTGCTACACGCCTGTGAGAGGGATGGAAAAAGACAAGACAACTGAGAACACAGGTTTAAACCCTGAGATATGAAAACATCCTCTGTGAACCCAACAAGCTATTTGAAGAATATCAGTGTAGCACAGAAGAGAAACCACTCCCTCCTGTACCAGGTTCTCCTATATCAGCATAATGAGGTACTCCAAAGGGAAAACCATAGCTCAAAGGAGCAGCACACCTGGCACCATTTCCAAGTAAACGAGGAATATTTCACCACCAGTTTCCTGTTTCCAAGCCAACCTTGATCAGTTACAGATAAATGTAGGCAGGTGGCTGTTGAGGAGTTTATTCAAAAGGGCACACACTTCACCACCACCCCCAAACAAGCAAAAAAACCCAAACAACAGAACAAAAGCCTCATCCTTAATCTAATTCTGAACAAGCACATACCCACATAGCAACTCCCACTTTCCCTGGTCTCTACAGGGGAAGAGGAGTGAGGGCCTGAAAGGCTACTCTGTGGCAGAAACAACCGTCTGATTGGCAAGTGCAACTCACTTTTTGTAGTTTTCTGGTGGTGACCATTTTGCTGAATCGCGTTGAGATTCCTCTCTGCAAGAGAAAAACAATGATTCCTCTGAACTTAAGATACTGGCAATGCTTCAATCACGTAGTCTCTCAACTCAAAAGGAAGTTATCACTATACCTCCCTCAACCTCCTGGTACAGCCCCTTTCATAACCTCATTCATATGGAGAGCTATCAGCTTATGGAAGATATTAAGATAATACAGCTGTCCGGGAGAGCAAGTGATTTCATTTCTAGTCCTTTGGTCCAGTTGTTTTGCATCTGGACAAAATGTGATTTAATAGGGTCACCAGTGACCCAAAGGAGGAGGGGCTGAAATACCCTGGCCTCCCACAGCCTGCACCTCCCAGTTCAGAGCACGGATAGAGAGTAGTTAGGTAAGACTCCCAGTGTAATTAGTTTCCATGCAGCAGAGCACTCTGAAAGGAGCTGCGGCATGCAAACAACACAGAATTATATAATGCACCAGCTAAACAAAATGTTTTTTAAAAATATTATATAACCACCAGTATCTTCTAGGACACTTGGACACACACACCTTGTGTAACTGTCTTCTACTTTGCTACATTCAGATTTTGCTGCTAAACAACACACTTATTTAAGGTAGCTCGCGTATTTCATTCATTTTTAGAAGTTACAGCTATAAACACTTCTGCAATGTGCTAAGGCTTGTACTGGAACAAACGAATGCAACATTGCCAGTCCACTTTCCAGATCTAGGGTTTCAATTCTGAAAACTATTTGCATGAAGAACAACAATCCATGCAGCTTACAGAGCTGCAGCCTGCATGTATTATCTACCTGCTATCCAGTCAGGGAAGATTTTTTTCTGCTGTAACTCTATAGTATTGGTATTAAACAGATGATAAAAAAAAAAACCACCAAAAGAAACATGGTTTCTGAAGGGAGACACCTGGACACAAAGAAGCTGAAGAAGGAAGAAAGGCTAACATGCTGGGACACCAGTTACTGTGTCAGCTCATAACACATTGCTGGCCAAGTAGCTGAAGGAGCTTACAGGTCTGGGAGCCTGGGAAGGAGGATCTCTCCCCTGCAGGACAGCCAACCGGTCCTCCATCTCCTGCGTGGATGGAACAGGTCCCCGGCAGTCGTCCTTCAGGGCAGCCAGCCTAGCTTCGATCTCAGCCTGAGTAGGGATGGACTCTGCAATTCAGAATAACCCAAGGGTGGAGATTACTTTATCATTGAAAATAAAAGGCTTCAATTTTTTTTATTTTTATTAAAATTGCATTTTTTTCTGGAATCAGGCACCGAACATTTGAACAAAAACCCACCTCAGACCCTGAGGTGAATGAGGGGTTGTACTGCAGAGACTCAGAGACTAACTTAATGCTAACTGTTATCCTTTTCTTCTGAGTTGGGTTGTACTGCAGAGACTCAGAGACTAACTGCTATCCTTTTCTTCTGAGTCCTTGCTTCCTTCCCAGTTTATTTCCTAGCTATAAGGCAAGTATTAGGGTAACGTCATTTGGCAGTCAGCTGACTCAGGATACCAGGGATTGGCAGAGAAACAAGTGTGATTTAGGCAGTACAATCCATTGCTCCCATATCTCTTAATATAATCCTACACATCAGACTGAAACCCTCCCCTGCCACATAATGGGACGACACATCAGACTGAAACCCTCCCCTGCCACACAATGGGACGAGAGGAAATGGCCTCAATCTGCACCAGGGGAGGTTTAGAACCCTCCAGGTCGGCCTCAAGCTGCACCAGGGGAGATTTAGAACCCTCCATGTTTCCCAAGTAGCAGTGTTCCCACCCAAGGCATTTGCAGTATCCTCCAAAACTCACTTGGTTTCCTTTCCTCCCTGAGCCTCTCCAGTCTCTCTGCAATAGCTCTATCCTCTTTTGAGAGTCCCTGGTATTTGGAGCCTGCTTGACCCGGGGGTTTTGTAGCTGCCTTCTTTTGTTCTTTCAGCTGTTTTTGCTGAGCCTCAAAAGCTGCTACACGCCTGTGAGAGGGATGGAAAAAGACAAGACAACTGAGAACACAGGTTTAAACCCTGAGATATGAAAACATCCTCTGTGAACCCAACAAGCTATTTGAAGAATATCAGTGTAGCACAGAAGAGAAACCACTCCCTCCTGTACCAGGCTCTCCCATATCAGCATAATGAGGTACTCCAAAGGGAAAAATGTAGCTCAAAGGAGCAGCACACCTGGCACCATTTCCAAGTAAACGAGGAATATTTCACCACCAGTTTCCTGTTTCCAAGCCAACCTTGATCAGTTACAGATAAATGTAGGCAGGTGGCTGTTGAGGAGTTTATTCAAAAGGGCACACACTTCACCACCACCCCCAAACAAGCAAAAAAACCCAAACAACAGAACAAAAGCCTCATCCTTAATCTAATTCTGAACAAGCACATACCCACATAGCAACTCCCACTTTCCCTGGTCTCTACAGGGGAAGAGGAGTGAGGGCCTGAAAGGCTACTCTGTGGCAGAAACAACCGTCTGATTGGCAAGTGCAACTCACTTTTTGTAGTTTTCTGGTGGTGACCATTTTGCTGAATCGCGTTGAGATTCCTCTCTGCAAGAGAAAAACAATGATTCCTCTGAACTTAAGATACTGGCAATGCTTCAATCACGTAGTCTCTCAACTCAAAAGGAAGTTATCACTATACCTTCCTCAACCTCCTGGTACAACCCCTTTCATAACCTCATTCATATGGAGAGCTATCAGCTTATGGAAGATATTAAGATAATACAGCTGTCTGGGAGAGCAAGTGATTTCATTTCTAGTCCTTTGGTCCAGTTGTTTTGCATCTGGACAAAATGTGATTTAATAGGGTCACCAGTGACCCAAAGGAGGAGGGGCTGAAATACCCTGGCCTCCCACAGCCTGCACCTCCCAGTTCAGAGCACGGATAGAGAGTAGTTAGGTAAGACTCCCAGTGTAATTAGTTTCCATGCAGCAGAGCACTCTGAAAGAGCTGCGGCATGCAAACAATACAAAATTATGTAATGCAACCAGCTAAACAAAATGTTTTTTAAAAATGTTATATAAACACCAGTATCTTCTAGGACACTTGGACACACCACAAATGCATCTTGTGTAACTGTCTTCTACTTTGCTATATTCAGATTTTGCTGCTAAACAACACACTTATTTAAGGTAGTTCGTGTATTTCATTCATTTTTAGAAGTTACAGCTATAAACACTTCTGCAATGTGCTAAGGCTTGTACTGGAACAAACGAATGCAACATTGCCAGTCCACTTTCCAGATCTAGGGTTTCAGTTCTGAAAACTATTTGCATCATTAAACAGATGATAAAAAAAAAACACCAGAAGAAACATGGAGAAAGGCTGCCCTGTTTTCTTAATGGCTTTGACGCTGTAAAGGGAAATCAGAAAATTTCAAAACGGAAAGACTAAATAGGGCATTTTCCTCATCAATAGCTCTGCTGCTTTCATGAACCAGCGCTCCTGAAATGAAAATCTCTGGTATTGAGAGGCTCTTCTTTAGACACCTGCAGAGCCAGAAAATTCCCCACTCACTGGTAAAAATTCCTTGCTATAGGAGAGAAGCGAGGAAGAGTGGTAAGAGAAATGAAAGAAGGAAGAAGATCCACAAGAACTGTTTGAGAGAGGCGTTCTCATGTACACTTGTGCTCTTATGTTACTTCTTCACATATAGAACCCATACTGCTACTGAATTACTCTTTTTTTTTGTTTTCAACAAGCAATCTACAGGTTATATTTGCAAATATTTCTTTTTCTTTCAAAAGCAAACTGATTTTATGCTACAAAATTTTAAGTCTTCAGGCTACACTAAGCAGAGACCCCTCAACAATGAGGATTTGTGTCACTGTTTGCCCACAGAAGTGATAACGCTTTCAACATCGTATTGTCAGGCCATTCAACCACCACGCACCTGAAAAGCCTGCCAGTGCTTTCAAAGGGATGTAGATTTCTGGGCAAAACCATGGTGGGGCTCAACGTGGTCTCATCTAGCTAAGATATCCACAGGCATTCAGTGTCCATGCATGAAAATTTAAACCTGGTTCTTTCAGACTACTCTGTCACCATAGAGAACAGCCTCACAAATCCCAATTTCTATCTTTGGACTGCACAGCTCATATCACAACAGCTCAGTAATGGCCAGCTTGAAACTCCAGGGTCCAGGCAGTGTTCACACACAAGTGCAAGGCACAGTTCTCATAGAGAAAGCTGCAACACAACACTGGGATGCAAAATGAAGAAACAAAGCAAGACACCGTCTTCGGGTGGAGAAACACTCCTGTCTTACCCAGTCAGTTTCCCGTGACACTGCTTGCACACCTTCTGCTGGGTGTTTCCACAGCGGGGAACCACAGCGCTGAAGCTAAGGCAGCCTGAGCAGAACGAGCGCCCGCAGTTCTTGCACCCACACTGCGGAGACACAAGAGAAGGGCAGGACAGGGCTCCATCACCTCGTCACCATACACACCCCCTTACTCTGGCTGGCCACATGCACGAACCAGGCCCATGCCAAGGTGAACTAAAAATAACGCTGGGGCTACACTGATTGATTTTTTTTTTTTTTAGAGAACCATACCATTAGCTGCTGCTGAAGATATGGAGGCTCTGGAGGGCCTTTGAGCGCCCACACATAACTCCTGCTAGGAGCAGAGACACCATTTTGCCCCATAATATAATAGAGCGTGTATGGGGGGAATTCTCTGAGACAACGGCCAAATACTGAATTACAGCGATGATATCTACTGGCTTTATCTATTTTCTTTCTTTTTTTTAGCAGTGATCGCACATATTTAAAGAGATAGGCACCACCAGAGCTCAGTAAACAAGGACAACGCCGCTACGACGCTGGTCGAGAAGGGCCCTGGGCGCCCCGGTTCACCGCCCAGGCCCTCCACAGTGCGGGGGAGCCCGGGGTCCGCCTCGGAGCCGCTCCCGCCCTCTCTCCCCTCGGCCAGACTTGCCTCCTTCTTGAAGACGGAGAACTTGGATGCACACCCATAGCACCGCTTATCCATGGCGCTGCCGGAGGCGCGACGGCGGCCGGGGCTACCTGTAACGGGAAGGCGGCGGCGGCGGCACCGCTTTCACACCCCTCACACACCGGGACGGTGCCGCACGACCCCACGGCCCGCCGCGGCGCACGGCCCGACGGGAGTTGTAGTCTTTCGGGCCGCCCGCCGCGCCTCCCGCTGCCAGACGGTCCTCAACCAATGAACTACATTCCCCAGAATTCCGTGCCGCACGCTGGGAAGGGTGGGATAAAACATCCGGGTCCGCCGCGCGATGCGCTATGGTAGCTGTAGTCTGATGGGGCGGTGACGCCATTTCCCGGCAGGCAGCGCGCACGGCGGCGGCGGGGCTGAGGCGACGGTCGGCCTCTAGGGGAGGTGGCGACGGGCTGGTTGGCCCCATTCGCCACTACGGTGGGCCGGGGAGGCGGGGGGTACGGCACCGCCTCTCCTCGCCAGGAGGACACCCAGGGCGGCCCGCCCGACGCTACGCCTCAGTCTTCCCGCCCCTCGGGGGACGTGGCCTAGCGCTCTCTCTGGGGTGTTCGCTCTTCCCACAGGAACGAAAGGCAGTGCTGCTCTTGAGGTGGGAGAGGTGCAAACACACACACCTGTGCCGTGCTAAGGCCTGTATAGTAATGAGTGAGTGCAGCGTTGGCCAGAGCACTTTCCCGATCCAAGGTTTCAGTTCTGAAAGCTATTTGTGTGAAAAACCTTGTCCTTCATATTTCTCCCTATGTCTTTAAGCAATTACTTCCAGTATGGCATCACTCAGGCTCCCAGTACAGCACACGTACTTACTAGGGTGTTGCATTTTTGCCCATTGGCTGGTTTTGGGTGTTAACATGACAAAAACTATATTCTCTAATCCTGACAGGGTTGCACTCAAGTTACTCTGTTTTTTCTTGTCTTAAACCTGTGGCGAAATCCTGGGTCAGGAGAGCATGACATCAGCTGCACTGCAAAACTCCAGCTATCCCCCGCCAATACTTGTGCCAGTGTTTGCTTATCTTTAGAAGTCAATGTCCTGCAGTGCTTCTAAAAAAAGAGTTCCTGAGTATAGGTCTAGGTACCCTTGGTTCCCATGAGTCATCTTGTTAATCGCATGGGTTTGCAATTACCTTTTGTATGCTTTCCAGTTTAATAGGTAAGTCCACACTGTAAAGACCTACACAATTAAGTTAGGAAACTGACTGGTCTATTCAAGGAAGTAAACTTGTTAATATCTGAAAGGATAAAGTTAAAGGAAAAAAACTGGGGTTTCCCTTATCAAGCATTCGTTTTTTTGAATAGTAAAGAACATTAGAAAAGCAACTGTGTAAAACTCAGAAGCTCAACTTTGCACCTGTCCAGCAATTGTATTAGAGACCATCTGGAAATTCCAGGTACTGTAGGCATAAAGCAGGGAATCAAGACAAATATAAACCAGAATTTACTCAAATAAAAGACTCCATTTGGTGTTGTCTTGGCTATTGAGCTGCTCGATGGGAGAAGAGGAAGAAGAAATTTCAATCTGAATGTCACCAGGTGTAAATTTGGAGGGCCGCTCTTACAAGCAGTGACCCAAAGAACCTTCCAATCCAGAGAGCACCACCAACAGAGGTGCACAGGAGGGAGCAAGACAGTTAAAAAAATTGAACTTACCTGTTTAGAAACGCCTTGGCTGAATTTGCCAGATGGACCTGAGAGTCGTGTCCAGGGCAGGAGAAGACCTTGCTCTCCCATGGTTGGAGAAGACCGAGACAGGTTCACGTTCCCCTGATGGTGTCCACCAGAGGGGGCCCGGGCCACGCAGTTCTTCCAGCTCTGTGCCAGAAGGCCATTTGGCAGCTGAATAGCAGCAGCCTTTTTTTTTTTTTTATTTCTTCTCTTGCCTGCAGATGTTTCCCATGGTAAAGGGAACTCTGATTATTAAAATCCTATGTGACAACTTAGCCCATAAGGTTTTCAATTTCTGTTTGAAGCGTAGGAAAGATTAAATGGTCTTTGGTTCGTATGTCTTCTCCTTGCCAAACTCAGTTGTTGCACAGTAAATGGTACACTCTGTGTCCTACATAGTTATGGCTGCAAATGCTGTGTGCTGCTCTAACTTGCTGTGAAACTGTGCCCCAGTGTATTAGATTATCAAGACGGCCTTGATAATCTTGGGGCTTGATTACTATAGTGGAACGCATCTAGAAGTAAAATTTTTGGCTGGAAAAAGTTCAAATTAATTCAAAATGTGGCCGTCTGCCGCCTCAGTCTCCCAGGCTGTAATGTGTCTGCTTGCAGTTCAGTGTGATAAAAAGGGCAAATCATCACCACAGTGAACAGAAAACTGAGTTTCAGTACGTTCTTGCTGTTCAGAAGGCTCATTTTCTTCTAGATGAGGAACCAACTGTACTATCAGCATGCCAAGAGCTGTCCTCATTGTCTGTCTGGGGTTTTAGTCATACAAGCAAGCATTGTCTCAACCACAGTTATTTACTTATGTAAAGGAAATGTGTCTTAAATTAAATACACACAAAAAAAGACCTATTAGTAGTACATTTTTTGTGTGTTTCTGTACTCCAGGCTGGTTTTCTCCTACAGCAGAAATTGACAGATCTCTGTTCTGGTTTTTACAGGGTATAAAAGCATCCTGCTCAGAGGCCCTGATTTGCCATCTAGATAGGAACCTGGACCATCCCAAAGCAGGTAAGATTGGAATACATGGACACAAACACTCATGTCTCTTCCACACATACAGGCTCGTGGAAGTGGTTCTCTCTTAGCACAGATCTGGTTTTGTATGCAATTAAGGTCATACCTGTTTGTATCATGAGGTATGTACATATAGGAGAGGGAATCATGAGGTAATACATATGTATATTCATCACTCCTAGATACCTTTTTAATATTAAATCCTTACATGTTGGATTTTAAAGGTATGTTAAGTGAACTTTCAGTAGAAACCCTCAAAATCTTCCTGTGGTGATACTTGAATCCTACACTTTTGGCTATACTGTCCATTGTGTCTACTGGCTGGTCATGCTTAATTCATATATCTCAGAATATGAATGTTAATAGAAGCTTATAAATCTTTTTTAATACATGAGCACTGCCTGTTGTGGGAGGATTGTTGTCTATTAGTTACAAGTCCCCTTACACTGTGCGGTTGAATACACCTAAGCTCTCAGCAGGGTTTGTGAATTCTACAGCTTCTTCATTTAAGACTCACAAGTAACTGTGGGTGAAAACGAGCAGCAGTCATTATAAGAAGGATGCCATTCCTGTTTGATGGGCCAGATTTATAGATGACTATAACTGGAGACCGCTGGCAGGAAACCAGAGATTTTAGCAATAATTAGAGGAAAGCTGAAGGGTTTGATATCTGCAGAGGGTCAAGAGGTGGTTTGGAGCATGTGTGGAAGCTCCAGCTAATGTGCATATCCCTTAAGGAAAGCGGTTAACAAGGACCCCTAACAGAACTAGCAAAAAGCAGAACCTTTAGATCTCAGACTGAAAAGCCTTTCCTATGAAAGGGAGAACTAATTCATCACATTATATTTCAGCCTGTCTGTACGTTCAGGAACGCATTTCTACATCGCTGTTGTTGAATTCATGTTCTCAAAACAAATGAGATTGGAGCCTTTAGCCAGGCTGTGTGCCCTCAGGGCTTACAACTTGCCTGCAGGAAGGGCTTGCTTACAAATAAAACACCCTGATTGAGTCACATTGCCATGTCTCAGACTTCTGCTTCAAACCATATTTCTAAGGAAAAGTTACAGGACCAATATTCCTGTATTGCTGTTTCAACATGTTCACACTCCTTTACCAAATATCTTAACATCTAAAACATTGGACCTATGCAGAGCCCCACATCTGGGGAATTTAAAGTAATACTCAAGTTACAAAGCTGTTCAGCACTGTATATTTAAGATCAGGACCCATTTAACTTTGCATACAATGACAATTGTCACAGGGTTAGTACTTTTGCACCTCCACAAAAGTCCTCAGACTCAGGGAGAAGAATTAGCTTTTGTACAGTCTGAAGCTGAGGTTAGAAATAGAGTTTAATTTTCTCTCGTGCTGCTGAAATTGTTATATCCTCCAAAAAGGTGAGCCAAATTAAATGAAGGAATACTTTTCATAGCCAGAAGACAGGAACTTGTAACATGCACTTTCCCACCATGATGCAAGCAAGCTCTAGACCCTGCTGTCCACAACTTATCAATTATAATTCTTCTGAGGGTGAAAATTAACCAGTGCTTAAAAAGGAAAACATTACAAACTCTTAAACAAGAAAAGTCAGCATAATTCAAAATTTTCTTGGCTGCCTTCCTAGCACCAGTAAAGCAAACTGGCATTTTCTACATGCTCTTCTTCACAAAGGCATAAATGTAGCAAGAACTTTTATTATTTATTACATCTTGGCATCTTCCAGTTTGGCATTTAGCTCTGAATACATCAAGTCAAGGCAAAGTGTTAGCTGTCTACAGTGGTGATTTCTTTCTCCGCTTCAGATGTCTTCTCAGAGGTGGAAGATTTCTCTCTACTGACAAGGTTACTTCACACCAAGTATGTTCTCCAAAGTTAGTGACTCTATTTACATTTGGTGGACTTTTCAGGCCTCATTTTAAAAAAAATATTTTGGCAATACCCCACAGACCATTTCAATACCTGACTCAGGCTGCAACAAAGTAGCAACAATAGGTGCTCCACTCTGGTCCCTCTCTCTCACTGCTTATTTCAGCCACTCTTAATTGTTTCTTTAGTGAAATCTGTTCTCTGACCAGGTTCATCTCAGAGAGAAGCAGTGCAATTCTCTGAGATGAGATGCTGTACAGACATCCTAGTTTGCACCTTCAGTGTAAAGTGGTGATTTCCAGGCTAAGCTAAGGTGCCTGCGCGAACTGTAGGAGTAATCTTGGCTTCAAAGCATAAACAAACATGTGTCTGAAGGTTCTTCTGTATGCATACAGAGTAATCTTGGCTTCAAAGCATAAACAAACGTGTCTGAAGGTTCTCCTGCATGCACACTAGAATGCACGTTAGGGTTGGGTAACAACATTTGGCAGAACACAGGTTGAAGTTGCTACACATTCTGAAATTTTTACAGGCACAGTTTCTAACACTA